ACTCACGCTGAAGTACTTGTAGCGGTAACCACCGAGGTTGTTGTTCAGGTTCAGGAAAGCGTTGCGGGGCAGGAGGGTGTCGTCGCTGCCGATGGTCAGGAGGGCGGCCTGGTAGGCCAGGTTCATGTCACCAGCGACATCCTCGCTCCAGAACTGGGCCTGGGAGTACTGCTGGCCCCACTTGGTGGCGTTCAGCATGTCGACGGCGGCGTTAGCGTTCTGGGACCTGCAACAAATCAGACACATGTGCCAATCAGTAAGAAGTGGGGTCAGAGTAGCCCGAAGCGCTGTATCGGGGGGAGCTGCTCGCTACTTACAGCTCCTGTTGCATGTTGGAGTTGAGCTTGTTGGCGGCGGACTCGATGGCGGACTTGACGACGGCGCGGACCTCGTTGCTGGGGTCCTGGTTGGTGAACTCAGCCATGCGCTGGAGCATGCTGGCGGGAGGGTTGGTCTTCATCAGCAGGTAGACGGCGATGCAACGGATCTCGTGGGCCTCACCAGCGTTCTGGTAAAGGCGGAAGAGGACGGGGCGGGCGATCTTAGGAGAGACTTTGGCGAGCTTGTTCAGGGCGGTGACCATGTGCAGGCGCTGGAAGTCGCTGATGGCCTTCTTGCCCTCGAGGTAGGGCTCGAACACGGACAGGATCTTGGGGTGGGCAGTGTTGCCGAGGGCACGGATGTAGACCTGGATCTTGTGGCTGTCCTCGTTCTGGGCGGCATCCTTGAGCTGCTGGGCCAGGTAGGGGATGTAGTCACGGGCAACGGCGGAGGCCTTCTTGGGGTTAAGGCGGCCGAAGACGTGGGTGGGGTAACGGTTGTGGGCGGTAGCGTTGTCAACCTGAGCCTTGCGGACAAGGTTGCTGAAGGACAGGATGGCGGAGACGTTCAGGAACTGCTGCTTCTGGACCTCGGACTTCTTGATCAGGTCGAAGAAGGCGTCCATGTACTGCTTGGTGGGCACGCGGGCGGCCATGGGGAGGGTGGCGACGATCTCGGCGGCCTCCTCACCCTGGATCTTGTGGTTCTGGATCCACTCCTTGATGAGCTGGAGGGCAGGGCCGGTACCGGCCTGGGCGACGGCGTCACGGAAAGCCTTCCAGGCGGCAACCTTCTCGGTGGCGCTCTGGCTCTGGCTGGCGCTCTTGGAGGAGGCGGAGGTGTACAGCTGCTGGCTAGCCTGCTCAAGCTGCTTGGCGTCCATGGTGCGGATCAGGCGGGCCAGGATGCTGAACTTGGCAAGGGTGGCCTTCTCGGGGATCTGGTTGGGGTTCTGGATCTCGTGGGCAATCTGCTGGCAGAGCTTCTGGACGGCCTGGATGGCGTTGATCTGGTTGGAAGCCTGGATGGAGGAGCCCATGTAGCCGACAAAGTAGGGGAGCATGGGGTTCTTGGGGGCCTCGTTCATCTTAGGCATGTCCTGGAACCACTCCTCGCTGGAGCTGGTGCTGCTGGAGCTAGAGCTGGAGCTAGAGCTGTCGCTGTCGGAGCTGGAGCTGGAG